TCCGCCCCTCCCCCCCCTCCACCCCACCGCATCCACCGCGAGCGAATGATGCGCCGTTCAGGAAAACATGGCGTAAAGTGAGTGCGTTGCACATGTGTCAGTGATTTCGGTAAGGGTTCAGTTCCTGAATCGCGAGGTTGGTCCGTAGCGTTCGCGGCTCCGGCAGCTCGGCTGCGACGGACACGTCGTCGGGCACGTCGGAAACGGCACGCCGGGTAGATCGCGCGTTACTCGCCGGGGAAACACGCCGGGAACGTGCGGCACGGGGAACGTACGGGGGAGCGAGAGAGAGAGACGCTAGGGATTCTCTCGGGGGCCAGTCTCCGTTCTGTCATCGCGGAAATTCGTTCGGCCGGTTGTTCGTTCGTTCGCGCAGCCGTCTCGACGGGTCTACCCCGTTTGACCGGGTCGCAGCAGCGCCCGCGGTAATGCCCGTTTGAAGTCGTCGGACTCCTCGGTCGCCGAATCGGCGACCATTCGACACGCGCGATTCCGCGTTGATCTCCTCGCCGATCGCGAGATCGGTCCTTGGATATACGCGCTATCGGAAGCGATATCGGGAGGACAGCTCTTGGCAGAGCTGGCTTTCTCCGACACGACGTCGCATTCCGATCTCCCGAGTGTCGTGCCGTCGTGGATCTAATGTGTTGATACCTATACGTTACCTTTACGCGATTAGATACTTGTATTTACATAATGCGCGTAATACACGCGTGACGCGTGAGTGATTGTAACAGTGCGGCACGATGCTGGATCAAGAGATCCCCGAGAGAGAATCCCGTTGATGCCGACTTGTTTAAGACAGTTACCTTTCCGTTGTCCCTTCTGTGTCTTTTACGTGAAGTATTTAGACACAAATCTTGCAAGACTACCGAAGTCTTTTTAACTTTGAATCTCTTCTTTTTCATTATTGTTATATTATTGTGATTATTTATATTAATTATCATGAATGTCATTTATATTCATCTATCAATTGAATAGACTGATTTTATCACTCTACGAAAAAATTTATCTGACAAAGTATTAATGCTATTAAATGCATATATATTGCAAAAGTAAATACATTATAGAAAATATTAAAAAAATATAAAATTTTATTTTGATAAAATTGACTTGCATTGAACACAGCACATGTTGCTCGTAACAATATTTATCTGATCAATTTTTGTAATGTATATTTTTAATATTGTATATTTATATCAATTATTATACATTTTTAGGTTGAATCAGTTAATTAGGAACAAGCTTTTTATTAAAGCATACATCAATAATAAAAAAAAATAGGTAAGTTTTAGTAATAAATTCTAATCTAATTTCTAAATTCTTCAATTCTTTATAAAACATTTCAGATATACATAATTATTATCATTATCCAATCTAGATATTGTTTATAATTAAAAAAAAGTTAATGCTATAATGATAAATAGATCAAGATAATTTTCCTATTTTTAGAAATATATAAAAAGTAGAATAGAGCTTCGCTCATATACATATATATAACTAAATAGAAAATATATAGAGATTAACATTTAAAAGTTTATAATTAGTAATGGAACATTTTTGATAATTGTTTAAACTTAAATTTTATCTCAATGTTAAAAAAAAGGAAAGATTATAAAATAGGAAAACAGAGAGACGGAAAGAGAGATGGGTTGCAATCTCAGAAAAGAGAGCCATTTCACAAGCTTGGTTTAGACATTCTAAAAATAGCTGGAGGCTCTATAGGCTTTCCGTACTGTGTCATGCCGCGCAGAGCAGCATCCTGCTGTGTTGCGTAGATCTTGCTCATTTTCCACCATCAGTATGGCAAAATGCCAATTTTTGTCTACTTAAAAGTATCTGATAAGCTTTTAATAATCACCTTTTCAAATTCCACGTCCATTAATAAATGAGAAATACTGTGCTTCTTTCGTTCTGGTGTTATGTTATAATGTAACAATTTTCTTATTAAAAAGTATTAAAATATTGTTTATTCATTCTAAAGATATTTATTTTTACAATTCGATTATATATAAAAGTTCTATAATATGCAATTTTATTTAAAGTTAGATACAAATTGATATTGTTGCAATGGTATTTATATCTAAAGGAGATAATGTTACTACTTTTTTTTAAATAAATTATTTTGTTATAAGAATATCTCACAGATGGTAATTAATTATAATAAATAAATATAATTAAATAAGATTTATATATTTGACATTTTGTTTACAGATCATGGTTTGCAAAGCTCAAGTATGTCTCGTTCAATTTAATATGCCCTATGAGGCTAACCATAAACTTTGGACTGGCAACAAATTTCCCTTATATGTATCTACACGTGTGAAAGATCTTTACAACTTTATCGAAGAACATTATCATATGCAACCAGACAGTTTTAGATTGCTTCTATACACGTCGTCATGCACAATGGTTATTTTATTATAATTAAATTTTTTTTAATATATATATATAATAATACTACATATGATGTGTAATAAACATATGTTCTAATATAATCCATATTATATTCAATATTAGATTGACTTGTCCAAGATGAAAGACAAAACGATGGAGCAGATTGGAGTGGATTTTTCAATTGATCCGAGTTCACCTGATATGAAAAATACTCTGTTTGTCGTTGATCCAACAGAACCTTTTGTTATTGATCTAGCACCGTCCCGGAAAAACATGGGTTACAATTTGCCAACGTTTAATGTAACAGGTGCACCATCCCTTCATCCACGATGGACTGAGGAAAATATTGTTAGGGAAGACGTTAGAGAAGATGTTAGGGATGGTAGAGAAGAAGTTAATTTCAGAAGTTGTATTAAAACTGAAACAAGTATGTAAGCACCATTTAAGAATTACTTTAGTATAAATTTGCATAGATTAACAAAAATATTTTATTAGTATTTTATAGCATATATTTGTATAATTTATAATTTCTTTAAGGTTATGTCGGTTTAGTCAATCAAGCAATGACTTGTTACTTGAACAGTCTTCTCCAAGCTTTATATATGACACCAGAATTTCGTAATGCACTTTACAATTGGGAATACATAGATAGTTTAGAGAAAGATGAAGCTTTAAGCATACCATATCAATTACAAAAGTTATTTCTTAATTTACAGGTATAATATGTGTTTAATAAATTTACATTGTATATGTATATTTTTTATGTGTTTAATATCATTTTTGAAATAATTTTTAATAATCATATTATTTTACAAAAAAAAATAGACGTCTACAAGATCTGCAGTAGAGACTACATCTTTAACGAAAAGTTTTGGATGGGATTCTACTGAAGCATGGCAACAACATGATATTCAAGAGCTTTGTAGAGTTATGTTTGATGCATTGGAACAGAAATTCAAAAATACAGAACAAGCGGATCTAATCAATAGACTTTACGAAGGTACAAAATATCGTTATGTGTGAGTTATGAAAATATCTATAATTTGCTTTCTATGTCGCTAGGAAAGATGACCGATTACGTCAAATGTCTTGAATGTGGAACAGAGAAATCAAGAGAAGATACATTTCTTGATATCCCATTACCAGTTAGGCCGTTTGGAAGCAATGTTGCATATAACAGTGTGGTAACTATTACTGCAATTTCAAATATCATTTACATTTATATATATAAGAAAGAAGTTCTTTTTCTCGTAGGAAGAAGCAATTAGAGCATTTGTTCAGTATGAAACATTGGAAGGAGCTAATCAATATCATTGTGAAAAGTGCAATAAAAAATGTGATGCGCATAAAGGACTGAAGTTTACAAAATTTCCATATCTATTAACTTTACATCTCAAGCGGTTTGATTTTGATTACAAAACCTTCCACAGAATCAAGCTTAATGATAAGTATGTAATCGCACAATACCATACTTGATTAATGAAAGTTTTATTTTTTATTTTGAAATAATTTTACATTACTGTGATTTGTGCTATTTCAGAGTCACGTTTCCGTACGTATTAAATTTGAACTCTTTTATTTCGTCCACAACGAGTCAAGAATCTCCTGGTGGTGAAGAAGATATTGGTTTAGGTATCAAATGCGATGATAGTTCCACGACAGACAGCGGTACATTAGATGATGATTGTGCGCCGTGTGACAACAGTCTTTCCAATAGTAATCATTCAGCCAGTCATGATCAAGACGATGATGAAGGTATAATATATTATAGGTGTGATTATTTATCGAAACAATTTTCAGAATTATTAGAAGATGTGTATGTCCGCCTTCAGGTATTGATATGAGCAATGGACCATCGACGTCGAGTTGTACTACGCATAATCATGAGAATGAAAAAAATCGCAATGCTTGTATGCTGGGAAAAGGTCCATACACCTATGAACTATTCTCAATCATGATTCATAGCGGCAGTGCAAGTGGAGGCCATTATTATGCTTATATAAAAGATTTCAGAACACAAGAATGGTTATGTTTTAATGACCAAAGCGTAACTCAAGTATGAAAATTAATTTTGCAATAACTTATTGTATATTCCTTAATATTATTAATCACATTTTCGATTGTATTATATTTTTAGATAACTGACGACGATATTCATAAAACATATGGCGGTGGACCTTCGAGAGTGTACTATAGCGGTGCATATAGCAGTAGCACAAATGCATATATGCTCATGTATAGGCAAATCGATAGTGCTCGTAATGCTTTACCTATGCAAACTCAAGATTTTCCGCAACACATTCAGGTAATATACAAATAATATATAGGTAATTTATATTATTTGTATATTATATTATTTGTACATTACAGGTAATGTAAAGAGAAACTAGAGTTTAGAGACAAATTTGAGTGAATTATATTGTAGACTTAAATTAGAACAGTTTGTAAAATTCGAATAGAATCAGTTATTAAACTGTTTGTTCGATTTACAATTACAGTTTTAAATTTATTTATACATAATTATTTAATTATTGAAATTTATTTATTATAATAAAATTAAAAAAAAATTTTTATTCAATAATTAAGAAATTTTAATTGTAAGAGATATCTTTTGCAATTATATATGCAAAAGCTTTTCTTTGTAGCTCTTACAATTTATTTTATAGGAAAATAAACATCTATTCTTCCTATTTTCAAGATATTCTATATTATTTAATACATTATTTTTTATCATCTTATTTATAGGAGTTATTAAAGAAAATGAAAGAAAGTGAAGATAATGATAGAAAAAATCGTGAAAAAATGTCTATACCTAGGTTGAAAGTGTACTGTCATCATCCGGTAGAAGGGAAATTGATGAATGTTAAATTATTTGTCATGCCTGATATCACTTGGACCGAAGTAACAGAAAAAGCGTATAAAAAATTTGGTCTTGAAAATGTAGTGAGTTTGGATCAGTGTCGTTTAGTTAGTTATGAACATAATACTGATTCAATAGAACGTAGTTACGATGATCGAGAGCATGAATCTGTTGAAAATATATGGCGTATTTCACGCCGATTCGATTTATTATTAGAAATTCGTCGCAAAGATCAAAAGTTTGAGACGTATTTACCAGGTGGTGAGTACGGAATTGGATGTGTGTATAAAATTAATTATATATAGTCAAAATTGAAACTTTAAATGTTATGTTTCAGGAGTTGCAACTAAAGTATTTGTCATAGATGTAGCACGAGATGAGGTAATTGACGGTCCGATTGATATCCGAGGTTTATTGTCGCAAAGTGTTAAAGAATATAAACAAACCGTAGGAAAGATTATTAATATGGATCCTAAGCAAATGAAAGTAATATTGCAAAAATTCACGGAAACTAGACCAGTGGAAAATGATAATAGTGATCTTCAAACTGAAGAATTTTATAACACATATAAAGTATTCATATCAACGATGTATGATATAGATAATAGTAAACCTTTTCGAGAATCTGCAGTATACAGAATTATAGAAAATTTTAGACATGTTATCTCTTTGCATGTTCAGTTACCAGATACCAGTAAAGGTATGAATTTTAAATAGTTTATAGAATGTCAGATAGTAGTTATAATTGTAATCACAAACATTCTAATTTTTTGATAATTTTTATGCAGAAACATTGGAAGAATTGAATATCCCATTATTAGATGATAAATACGAAGAAAAGGAAAAGTCTGTTACTAGTGGTCCACTTAAATTCGTTAATGAATCAGATTGGGATGTTAATTTGAAATGCAATGAAACCCTGAAAAGTTGTGCACGAATTAACGAGGATACTACTATCCGAAATATAAGTCCTCAATTAGGGGAAGCTGAGGAATGGAATACTCCTGAACAAAGTAATAGTGAAGATAGCAGTCTTAGTGATAGTGATAAAACATTGGTTGGTGATGCACCAGAGGGTACTGATATTGAACCACAATCATGGGATAGCGATTATTTTCCTACAAGATTTGCAAAGCGCAACTATAAGGCTCAGTTTTCTACTTCAAAGCGATTTGAAATAGACTGGGACATTGATGATGACTCCGATTATTACTTTAGAGCTACACCATATACAGATAGTATTCAACAAAATCGTATGTCATTTATTGAAATCAACATTTTAATGATTATGACTTGGTCCCGTAATTTAATTATCTCTTTCTTTTTTACAGTACTTAAAGTATTAGTGGATAAAAGAATGAGATTGAGCACGTTGAAGAAAGATTTACAATCATATGTAGGTGTATCTGTGGAATATTTTAAAGTTTTTCGTATATCGAATTCTGGTGAATCAGAATGCAATTGTTTGATGGAACAGCTTAGTTCATATGAGGATGGTGAGAGGCTTAATGTGAAACTCGGCCGAGCTTTGCGTAATGGAGAATTTAAAGTAAAATTGTATCAACTATTAATCGACTCCACTGAGGTTTGTATCATATTCTTTATGTTTTGCATCCTTTAAAAAATCTGTGTGTACATTATTATTATGTTATCAAAATTTCTTATTATGGATTAAAATTTTAGCCTTACAAGTTTTTATGTGAATGGATTGTCTCCAGAGATGTGACGGTTGGACATGCAAAAAAAGAGATACTGGCAGAAATAAAGAGAAAATATGATATAGATATACCATATGAAAAATGTCGACTTAGGAAAAAGTATTTCAAAACAGCCTCAAAAGTATTTCTAAACGAACAAAAATTTGAGGATTTCCAATTTCATTCGCAGTTTGGAATGATCGTTCAAGAACTACCAGATAAAGAGATAGTGACAGACACCAATCAGATTGTCCTGTTTGTTAAAAGGTGGTTACCAGCAAAATTGCAATTAGGACAATTCCAAGAAATTGTTATGGATAATAGAACTGTTGAAGAACTGAAAAAGAAAGTAAGTCGCGTAAAAATGTCGTTTTATATCGTTATAAAAAGATAAAATGTACTTAAATTATTATTCTTTTTTCTAGCTTTCCTCAATATCGGATATTCCAGAGGAGCATATAGATATAGCAAAAGGGAAAGGCAGTTTTCCGTGTGACAATTCTGTGCTTCGAATCCAAAACGAGCATGATTGGAATGAACATCACGATAGTTTTGAAGATGGTGCCGTCTTCTTGTACAGGTATATATTTAATATATTGTTCGTTAAATTAATGTGCGAAATACCTTTTAATTACACTAAATATTTGGATTGTTTTAGGGACAATAGAGAAAAACCAAAACAATTAAATGCTGACGAGGTAATGGAGATCGCTTTTAAAGAAAATTCACGCTTAACGCCGCTTTCTACTACTTCGAGTTACAGTCCACGTCGGGAGAGAGCACTTAAAATATATTTGGATACCGAATGATCGTCTATAGAGAGAGAGCACCATTCTCCTAAAAATGAGTTGCTAAATAGACATATATACGAACACAAAACATTTTCACATAAATTAGTTATATGTTGGATATGTGCGAAATCAATATTTCCTCAAATGTTAAATGTTTTGTGTTCCAGTGAGTCTTCAGCATTTCAAAGCTTCCGCGTTCCTAAAGTTTTTTGTCTTTTCCTCGAAACTATTGGATTTTTGAAAGTGTTTGGATTCATGAATTGTTATATAGTAACACATAAATCGGAGTCTCGGTATACATACTCATACCTGATTTCGAGATTTTTAGAATTTATATGAAGTGTAAAATATGTCCATGATATCACCTGGTCTGTTGAATCAGTTTTCCATCTCTAGGGATGTGTACGACAAACCATAGGATTTCTAATCCGACCGAACAGAGGTACTCAGTTGATGCATTTCAAAAAACTCCCTAGCCTAATAAATAGCCTATAATTGGATTCCGATGATTGTCTCAGGAAGTAATCGAATTTGATCGAATGGATCGTGAGAAGTACATTGCGAATTTGCGAGATGTGATAAATTTAATTAATAAAAGAGTGCGTAAAGACAAACAGGTACGTTAACTATTATTCTAATAATTAATATTGTATTTCTTATTTTAATATATATATATATATAACATATATATATATATAAATATATATATATATTTGTCTTTACGTATTCTTTTATTAATTAAATTTATCACATCTTGTTCAAATTTGCAATGTACTTCTCACGATTCGTTCGATCAAATCCGATTACTTTCTGAGACAGTCACTAGAATCCGATAGGGCTAAGAAGTTTTTTGAAATGCATCAATTGAGTACCACTGTTCAATCGGATTAGAAATCCGACGGTTTGTTGTAAACACTCTAGAATTAAATTAAGCAGCATGATTAATCATAAAGCAATGCTAATAATATGATAAGTAAACTGTCTGATGAAAATTTCATGTGTGTTATCGACTTTTTATATTTCGCATAACAATGTAACTTATGTGTTCTTATTATTCTATTATTTTGCGAAATCTGCTCAGTTTTCTCTAGAGAAATCTTGATATCTTATATATCTGTTAAAGTGTATGTATGATACAGACATTGTGCTCTTTGTTGGAACAGTTCTATGTCTAGTATTGTATAAGAACTGCACTGTACAAGAACTATTATTGACAACAATTTTGTCGTCACTTATCTAGCATGATGATAATTATATCATGATGATAATTATATATGATGATAATTATATCATCATGCTAGACAAGCTAATGCTTGTATTTTTCTAATATGTCAAACTTTTATGGATTTGTCGCTTCATAAAACTTTAATGAGTTTTTCAATCATTTTCGAATCTAAAACATAATATTTTAATCTAGAAGTTGTTGTGTAATGGCGTGTCAAATCACTGAATGTAATCAATTTTTTAATAACAGATGTTATTGCGTATGTTTTAATGTTTTTCAATTAACCGATGATATTAATAATGCGCAATTCGGAAATAACGAGACAAAGAGAATAATTTTTTTTAGAAAGAGATCTAAAGAATAGACGTAATTTTTATGTATATTCTCTCATTCCTCTCTGTATTACTGATATTATAAAACTTGGAGCATATTATTACTTAATTTATATTTGGTTATTATTTATACCTTAAGATATACGTATCATTGCATTATCTTTGCAGTAACACTTGCAAATACTGAAAATAACTCCTTGTAGATTCAGAAGATGTGCACGAAAGTGTTGTAGCTTAAAAGTGTGAAACATTGCTTTAGCTGCCAATATTTATTTACTTAGAAGAGGATAAGTACATTACGGAAGCTGCTTTCAGTTGATTTTCTTTTCATGTAAAGATGAAAGATTGATGAACTAGACCAAGTGGTAATTTAATATTTCTATTGTTGTATCTTTATTTATTTTGTTATCCTCTATTAATCGTTTTATTTATCATTTGAAGCTAATCGCTTCATATATCGTATGATCATCGTTTTTATAATTGTTGAACGAAGAAAAAAAATATCGATACGGATACTATCTTTTAGCAAAGTAGATAACATTGAAAGCAGCGAGCTACATTTGGTCATTTTTGTGAATAAGTTAATTGTAAGATCATGGAAGTATCTCTGGACACACGGTTATTCAGATTGTAATTTAAAACTCTCTAATTAGCGATCAAAGGTTATTCTCTGTATAATATACTGAAGTTATGAAACAAATTATATTTATAATTATTAACAATGAAAAAAATATTGAAGTGTCTAAATTTGTCTCTTTATACCGCCTACTTTATAGTATTTATTCTTTATTATCCTTATCCAGTTCATAGAGATATGTATAAATGAATGCATGTTTAAAAGTGATGTTAATAGAAACATTTCGATTTTTATTCTTATTAGTATAAAAGAATAATTTTAAAAAATCATTCAAAGAATCAATATTCAATTATTAAGTTTAGACTTTTGACATAGTTAATAATAGAAAAATATTGCAAAAATTAATCAATTTAGCATTGATTATAAGTTAATCGATAATTAATTCAATCAATAGAATTGTTTAAAGTAAAATTTTAATTGTATAATTTATTTCTATTAATCTAATTTTTTTCCATGTGTTGAATAAAAAGTTAACAATTCTCTCCGTATTAATAAAATGGTATAGGTATCGACGAATTAATCGAAGATTAAATTAAGGATTTTTAGTGAAAATCAGGTTACCTTGGTTTTTAAAACGATCGGGTTCTTCTTCAACTTAACGGTCATGGGATATGTATCTAGATGCGATTCATTCGTAAATTGGAACACACTGGAGGCTGGAGCTGTTTCAAGCATGATGGCACTCCCAACGCTGTATGTACAACATATATCATCGGCTGACTCTCTTTAGTTTATTTTCTCACATGTAGCAACATGTGTTATACTTGTCAATGAGATACGACTTTGCAAGAAATTCATTACGAGTGATACCGAGTGAAAAGTTTGGATACAATTAAGTGTACATTCGACTGTACACAATGACACGAAATGATACTATCATCACCAAAGTACTAATAATTTGGTTGCTTCTTTCTATCTGTCAACTGAAAGTTCAAATTCTTTTAATTTTTACGTTTTAGATGGAACATGTGGAAGAGAGTTTGAAAGATACCTTATATAGAGTCGAAGTAATCGAGAGAAAGCTTAAGACGAAATTACTCACCATAGAAAATCGGGAGAAATTGGAGAACGAGCTGGAGGAAGTTAAGGAAGTTCTTAGACGAAATGAAAAGGAGTTGCAAAATTTAAGAAAGGAAAACTCAAAGTCCTTTATGATAGCAGCGTGCTTGGTTTTCGTGTGCTTCCTTATTTACGGAATATATTTGTTGATTTTCGGAAATGTTTAACGTAAGAAATTTATATTTATTTATTTGTACATTTTATAAGTTTTTAGTATGTTGTACATCTGTTGGGAGAAATTTACAAATTGCCAATTATGTCAGACAGTACAAAAATTTGCATAACATTTGAAATGTTCTGTACATAAATAAAGCGAATTTTTTAATTCGTCGATTGATCAATTGATGAATTAGATAAAACTCGCCCGTGCTTGCTTAAGAAATATATACGTAAAAACATGTAATTTTTTATGCAAAATAAATTTTATTTTTACATAAATAAATAAAATGAACAATTCTAGATTATTCATAAGTTATTTTTACATGTTAACCAATAATAATTAAGATAAATGTTCTATTTTATAAACTAGTTAGTATCTGTTTTAAATATTACAATATTAATTTTATTTTTTAATGTATTTACATATATTTAATTACTATTCTTTCAGTGTAATAAATTACATTTTATAATATAAAATGTATTTATCATGCTGAAATAAATGGCAACATCAATGGAGTATCGCTTGAATTTAAAATATTGCAAATAGAATGGATCATAGGCTGAATTATCTTTAGCTGTTAGCTAAATCGTACTGAGATGCCCCAGCTAGACGACTACGCATGTACTTGACGTGCATTTCGACATCCAGAAAGCTGCCACTTACTGCAGGATCTTCTTTCATAGCAACTTGCCATTCAAACTATATTATATAAAAATTGTTATTACAATCGATATAGGGGATGTTTCAAAATCTCTGGGATCAATTTTAGGGAATAATAGATTTCAAGAGACAAACTTTTGTTCAGAAAACAATTCTTTCTTTCAATTTTTAAAAAATTACACGTTTTCATTTGAGCTGGTTGTGCGTGACGTCTGTCTAATAGATAAATAATAATCCACATTTTTGCTTTTTGTATTTTTTAAATATTTTTTTCTAATATATTATTTATCTTCAATTACATCAGGAGATTTGCGGGCTATTACCATGTTTTTATTCATTACTAATGTTAATTCGTGAACTTTGCCATGATCCTTGACACGGTGATAATCCGCAAACCTTCTGATATGATTAAAAATAATAATAGGTGAAAGAGAGAGAGAGAGAGAGAGAGAGAGAGAGAGAGAGAGAGAGAGAGAGAGCCTCAAATGCATCATCTTATCTATCTAATGTACTTTCTTATCTTTCAAAACAAAATTACAAGACGCAAACTAATATTTTCAGACGTCACACATGATTGGACAAGTAGCAAAAAATGCATCACAGAGGCTTAAGTTTCTTAACAAAAGTTGATTCTTTTATTAAAATCTATCATCCCTTTTTATCTCAGGATCCTGAAACATTCCTGTACTTATATGTCAGTTTCCAATGATATATAATTACCAATCGTAAGAAACGATCTCGAGGTAAGGCAAACTGCTCTCCTTTTAGAACTCTTATTATATCTGCCCTTTCAAACCATGGCCATATCATTAAGTCCAGCATGCCAGGTTTGCTGCCACCGAAAAAGGGAGTTCCTCTTTTCGCCAATTCTCGATCAAAAAATTCTAGCTCAATTAGCGTATGGTTGAATGTATCTTGCACCAATGCTGTTTCCGAAAGTGCCTAAAAGTCAAATACAATAAGACCATCATGGGAATGTACGTACGGAAGTTTCCCACTATGCATTGTATATTATCATCGATATTTATAATAAACCATCATGGGAATGTACTTAAAAGTTATAAACGAAAATATATATAAAAATATTTTAAAATAGAACTATTATAAATACCTTATACATAGTTGCTATTACTATACTAAATCTATCAATCAATAACTTATCTTTAGCCTTTGCTAAAGGATTATTTGGATATAGTTTATTTTGAGGATACGCTTCATCCAAGTAATCAGCAATAATTAGACTTTCATACAGTGTTTCTCCTTCTTCCAGTTCGATACAAGGAACTTTATTAACAGGATTTTTTTCCATCAACCAATCAGGTTTGTGTGTTAAATTTACATTAACTACATCATATCTAAAAATAAACACAATACAATGAAAAGACGTTATTTTTATACATATCTATAGATAAATAAACGGCTTATCAATTTATAAATTATAGAAACAGTTTTTTTTTTTAGAAACAAGTCTTTCTCTCTTTTATAATATGTAAATACTTAACAATTCAAGCTTCTTTTACTTAGTTGAGCACTTTGTATCAAATTAGTACATATCATTAATGGGACTGTTTGCGTTGTTTGAAACTTTTAAATGAAAAATGAGATAGATACATATTTATGCATTAAAAAAGAAGCAAAGATGCTGAGTGCAAAAAATGCAAGCAACGTGAACAGACCAAATATTTAAGATATTACTTGGAAATAGAATATAAGAAAAGAAATTTGCTAAATTATTTAGAAATTGTATATTAAAATAATATATCAATAAAAAATTTTAAAGTGTCAAAAAATCAATTTCATATTTTAAGCAAGGGAAAAGAAGATTATAAATTGCCTTTTGTGCTGCATATATATAATCACAACTTACGGAATTTGCTTGGCGTCCAGCACGAGGTGAATCCTTTGCGCGTACGGACAAAAACGCATGCTGTACAGGCGTAATTTTCCGGGTACAAGGGGCGGTGGTACCGATCCTGAAAAGGACACGCATTTTTTGACGTTCATTGCAAACTTGTCAATCGTGCGATTTTTACAACGTTAAAAAATACTTCTCTAATACCAATACTCAAGTGCTTCGCGCTCATCCTGATCTTCCTCGTATCTAGCTGTCCAACACGTCAAAAAGATTTCGCTCTGCCGTCTTATAGCCGACAATCCTATAGCCGGCCGGAGCGAGGAATAAATATCGATGACAACATACAATGCATAGTGGGAAACTTCCGTACGTGCGTATTATGAAAGAGAAAAAAAAATTCAATATTATGCACGTCCGCGTGTTTTTTACGCTCATTTATTATCCATTTTTTCCTCTTTTCCTCGAGTAATTTGCTGACAATGACATCGCTACGTTGAAGAGAAGCGGAAAGAAACCTTGTGAGACGAAAGTGCACTTGGGACTTGGGAATGTACAATATAGTTAGAATTGGTTGGAATTTGAAATCTACCTACTGGCGCCCACTCTACACCCTCTACGTACACAAAACGTATACATATAACAACATAACACGACATCCATTAGGCCACGTTTTACGAATAAACGGATAACACGATCCACAAAAGAAATTGTAACAATAAATGTAAAGCTGGGCAAAGGTAAGAAATATTAGACTTAAGATGACTCGGAGTGCGTTCCGTTTACGTAGGATGCGCACGACGTATCATTTTTTATCTTTGTATTCTCCGAATATTAATGCACAAAATCGAACGTATCACCGGTTATAATTATAAATATTATATTTATAATTGCATAGATATATGAAATTGGTACTTTTGATGAGTCATTTGTGTGTCGCATTAATTCTTCGATATATCGTGTATTCTTTAAGATTAATTTTGAATTTCATTGTAGCGAAGAAGGTCGTCGTTCGTATTATGATATTAGATATAGAAAAACAATTGTGATAGTTTTAATACTTTTTTCAATCTCTTTTTTAAGTAATGTTTTTTAATAATGTTTTTAATGTATTATTATTTTTAAATAATGTTTTTAATAATGTAATACATGTTTGTATCCCAAGTTAATTATTTTCATCCCTTATTTACAAGTATACAAAAATTATTAATTAAGTGATTCTTATCATATTTTTAGAGTAATCGAAAATACTTGTAAAATAGGGTATTAAAAAAAGGGAAAAGATATAAAATCTCTGTTATTTATAATTAATTACAATATCATGTGCCTCCTATTTTAAAGAAAAGATTAATGCGTAGGACACGAATGCCTCAATCGTGTGTACTAAAAAGTTAATGCAAGTTTCTCAGTAATCGCACATTATGCGCAAATGCAGTTTTTACTGAGCAAAGTATGCATTATTTGTGTAATGCGATTGATTAATTAATGTAAAAAAAAAACTTGTCTCTTATTATATGTGATTATCAAAACAAAATGAAATTTAAAAGAATTTAAATATTCATCGTAAACATAAAAAATCGAATTGATTCTGATGGTAATCACGAAATTTTAATGAGAGTCGCGACTGATGGTAAGTAATATTTTCCTTTTTGATACCGGTCGAGTTTGTCTGCCGATAATAGGAAATAGTACGAATTGAGCGCTACCAGATGGCACCTCAAGTATTTTTCAAAAACTCGCAAATAGTATAATGTAAGCTTACGGAGCGAGACAAGTGCAAAGAAAGAATCGGCGATTTGAAGTTTGAAAATTTTGTGCGGTGGAAATAAGTTTTTGATCTCCGTTTCCAGATTGAAACTCAGTGAACTGAAGGATTCGGACACGATAGAGATGGACATGCTAAAGACATGCTATTCGGCTCCATATTTTCAGTATAACATGCGAATCAAGTACTTCGAATAGTCGCCGATATCTCAAGTAAGAGAATTCTTCAACTTTTCTTTGCATTTAAACGAATATTGTGCGCGTAAACATGTAATATCCCAAACAATACAAAATCCAAAAAATTTGAACATAAAACGTTTTAAATGCATGAGATGTTTCTTAAACGATTTCTTTTTTTTTATAAAAGACATCTTTAAAATATCTGACGACGTCTTTCAGACGTCATTCAGATGTCTTGTCCCAGTCCTTGCTCAAGCCTTTATTACGATTCCTGAAACGAGGTAAAAATGACAAAAGTAAGATAATTTACCAGAATATATTTATAATTTCATTGTGGTCAATACTTATTATAGTTATTGCTCACTTTATAATTTTCATCTTGTTTCAAAAACCATAATAATAAGTTCTCTCATTGTTTTTTTGGACATCTTGCATAAAACACTTTCCGAAAGACGTCCTAGGAATATTTTTAAAACGTTGGACATTCTCTGGACATCTTTAAGAAATTTGTGTGTATAGAGCGTGCAGTTGTCTGGAATATATTTTTTTACCGGTTACACACACGAAGAAAATTAATAAATGATGAAAGAACGATTAGAAATTAGGCAAAAATAAGATGTATAAAATTAAATTTAAGATGATTCGCTTACTTTATATAAAATTTACGATTATATAAAATTTGTTCTCGTGAAAATTTTAATCGAGGAATACAATCGCAAGCATTAATCTTTTACTTTAGGTACCTCTAGAACTAACTCCAAAACAAAATCGGCTTGCGAAATTAAGTGAATTTATATGATTCTATTATCCATTTGCGGTTTTCCTGTACAGAAAAATTTAATTTTATACTGATGTGATTAATCATAGTTATATTTCGAGTATTAAAAGCACTGAATAACAGTGATTTTAATATTCAAAAAAATTTCTGTAGGAATTGAAATTTAGTTTTCGAAAAAATTTCTTTACTTGCAATCGTTTGCAATTTAAAAACTATTGTATAAACACGAAATTATTTGACGAATTATTTATTCATTCTTCTATATATTTTTTAATTCATTTGTAATTTTGTGGTAAAAATATTGAAGGAAGCAGCGCCGTTCGTCGTTGAGCGATTAATCATTCAAATTTTAAATACCTTCAGAAATAATTCTTAAATTCTGAACTCTCAAAATAAACTCGGCCCGAAATTAAACGAATTATGCGATATCGACATATAATTTAATTCTATATTATTTGTTTGCGGTTCTCAAGTTTAATTTTTTTAAATTCCTTGTAATTGTTTGCAATTTGAAAACTGTTTTTTTTTTTTTTAGAAAAAGATTGAATTCGGAGATTTATTATAGAAATGGCATAATATTGTATAATACTATATGTATATATAATTATCACAGTAAAAAAGAAATTGTTCATCACAGTATCACAATTTGTACGAAAATTGTTATTAACTCTCTCATTATAATTGACAAAAGCAAACAATGAATTTAATTAGATATTTAGGGCATATATTTTGTACATTTTAAATTTTATTTTTTACGACAGAATTAATAATTTTATGTCATAGGTGAAAGATGTGAAATACGATTTTATTCAATAATAGAGACATTAATAATTATCTCTTTCCTCGACGAAGCTTGTGATAGAGTTGATGCTTCACAGTGATCGTAAAACGCGAAAGTTTATCTCTCGTAAAGTTTGGCTTCCGAGGGACGCGTTGTTCCCGCGAACGATTCGATTAATGAAGAACAAACGGATAGCTTATTTTCCGCGTCGAGGCTCAAACAAGACGAGCCTCTTAACTTTGATACGATGCATTATTGCGTCCGTTCGCGTTGCATCTGGATTCGAATAGTCCGAAGGGTGAGATACAGAAGGGGGTGACGGGTAGAAGAGAACGTATACGTAAGTAGTGGTGGTGATAGCGCTAACAGCGCCGAAGGACGGTACACGTACCGAAGTTGGAGCAACCGATGATGGAGAAACGGGTATGAGGACTATGAGGGTGGTGGCTGCTGCTAGGTAGAGCCGGAGTTTGTGGTGGTGGGTGGCAGTAGCGATGGTGGTAGTGTACGAAATATATATATATCAGGGAGAAAGAGAGAAAGGAGGAGGGGCGAGAGAGAGAGAGAGAGACAGAGAGAGAGATATGTGTGTGTGTGTGTTTTTATGTGTGTGTTCTGTGTGGGAGAAAGATAGTATAGAGTGTAAAGTGTGGAGGAAGATGTGGAGGAACAGCGCGGGCGCTGATTGGTAGCAGAATCGATTAGCCAAGCCGAGCTAAACCTCCGGCACCGCGGCATGGTTCGGCGTAGCGACGCCACGAATTTCCCGAATGGGGGTTTCCCGTTGGGGCGGACCCCGCCGAACCCGGAGAACACCCCGGCCCTCTTCGCCATGGCAACCCGACCAATTCGCCAACCGCCGGCAACCAAGACTGACCTACCGTGTGTTCCTCGGCTTATTTTTCTCCTATCTTGCCTCCGCGTTCCTCTTCCCTCGTTCTCTTCCTCTTCCTCCTCCTCCATCATATCGCGACCGTTCTTTGTGTCTCTACGCCGTACCCTTTGTCTCGTTCCTTTTTTTTTCTCTCTTGGTTTCGTTTGCTCACACGCGTTTATACATACGTAACACGCGAGGAGCAAAAGAGAAGAACTGTGTAGAGCTCCATTTTTCCTCTTCAGTTGCCTTATTCTATCCGTTTTCCCCTTTGGCTCTCTCTCTCTCTCTCTCTCTTTTCGGCTGTACATCTTTTATACGCGATCAAGAAGGCAAACGCGAATGCATAGAGAAATGGGAGCCACATTGATTTTGCCGACGACTGATACAACCCCGTCGGCTCGTTTAATTAGAACATGGCGACTTTAATACAAGCGCACGACAACAAGAACAACAACAGCGCTCCCCCCGATTTCCCGGGTGCGGTTCCCGCGAGATTCTCTCAGGTCTATTCCGTTGTGTCTTCTTTGATTCCGCAATGGTGTCAGATGAGCCTTCGGCCTTCGATAGGGTGACGGGGGGGGGAGGGAGGGGGGGATCGCTTATCTATCTAACCTAACGCGTTCTACGCTAGTGCCAGACATCCCTCGTTCATCCACTCATCCATCATTGTCATCGTCATCATCGTATAATCATCGCAGTTTATTATTATTCACCTCCATTCTCGAAATCACGCCTGCTCACGCGACACTTCGTATCTTGCACACAAATACACATAATACGCACGCAACGGCCTTTACTCCATTCTCTCTTTCTCTCCTGACACTCACTCTCTCATCGCATCCTCGCGCTAAGACTAAATTCTCTACACGCCTAAGCTACACATGAAAACACCCTATCTACATGAGCGCCCTTTCGCGCTCGCGACCCGTCGGACCGATCCGGAAACCATCTGCTGGATAACAACCGTTTCCCGTCGCGGTGCCGATTGCACGATCGGTCCCACGGGCCGTCTCGGGGGCCGTGCTAATCGTTAAAATTATTCTAGGAATGCTTAGGGCCACTTATGAGTAGTATGGTACAGTATACGTCTTAAGGAGTTACGCATGTCTCCGACACGAGGTACGCCTTCCTTTTTCTGGGGAAGGATTGCCGACACGCGTCGATGGGGATTGCGATATTCACGAAGGAAAATCGCTTCTTGCTCTTCTAGGCTGCGCTTGAAAACACTACCCGAGTATCATTTTATCCTTGTTCACCGAACGTCAAACAAAGATAAAATGCTACTCGGAGGTACTCGGGTAGTGTTTTCAAATCCCCGGTTGTCCGTCGAGGGTCTGTGCTCTTTAAAGTTCGCGGTTTTCAAAGACTTTATCATGCATTAATGTTTAGACTATTGAGAAAGGATTAGTGATAAGCAACCAAGATATTATACAAGTCAGATAAAAATTGGCATACTTGATGTTTTGCAGCAAGAAACATAGTGTAATGCCGACATTTAGCAATTGGAGATTGCACTTGCAATCACATTTGCATCTCTTGACCAATCAAAAAGAAGCTGTTAATTAGCAGTTCCATTCTGATTGGTCAAGAAATGCAAATGTAATTGCAGACGCAATCTTCAATCGCTAGTGTGATATACGGGTATAACACAATGTTACATTAGTATCATCATTTTATCTCTGTTTAAAATTGGCGAATAATAAGAATGTCATTATTCACTGTGTTATACTATGTCATCTGTGCTTTTTACTGAAAAGCACTCATTATCAGTATTTGCGATCTATACTGCAAGTTCTTTTTTCTTTTACTTCTTTTTATTTGAGTGGTCTGTCCAAAAATGGACTTTACGCTATCATCCATTTGGATGATATCAAGTCTTTTTTAAATTAATTTTTTTATTGAACTCTGTTTCGACTGATATGTTATGGAGAAAACAACTCCAAAAAAATTAAGCATCAAATAAAATATATTTGTACAAACGTTACCCGTAATTATTTCTTTATTAATTGCCAAAAATGTTATTTTATTTAATTACGAAGAACAACAAGAATATAAAATCTTCGCTCATTCTTGTGGTAAGATCTAATTCAAGAATATCGTTTTATGAACAGATTTTAAACAGGTAAAAGATCAAATTAATTACGTGACAATTTTTTTCCTCTTTTGGAAATCTGATTTTCTGCAATATATGCAAATTTTTGAATTATAGTATAATGTCCATTAATATTAGACAATGCAACTAAGTTCACAGAAGCTGGCAGAAAATAAAGTAAAAATTATCCTTTATACGATTTAATATGATGATTTTTACTTCAAAGTACGAATCTGTATGCTGTGTATTTTATCAAGATCGAATTTGGTTTCGGCAATCCATCCTTTGTCTCGATATGGGTAGAGCGGCCACATATTTAACGCGATTTCTAAAAAGGATGGGCTGAAAGTTCGATTCTGATTGCGCGTATGCCATCAATTGATATGACTTAAACGTTGTACTTTTGATTATCGTCTACCTCTCTTGATGACGGATGATGAAAAATGTACGGTTAACGCGGTTTCGTTGTAAAATTACATCAAAGGAACGAGCGATTTTCACGCTTAAACAAGCCACCGACATGCTGAATAGTTGTACAAATATTACATTTCGATGATCGTTTCTTACACGCCCATCATTTGATTTGCTTCTATGTAGCATCTCTACCCATTTCTTCACATAATAAATAAGTTTAAAGAGTTTATGATACACGTATCAGTTTTGGTCTGAATCGAACATGGGTACATTCTGCGGACAAACATCCGCGGGACCTCGTTTGAAATTGTGATGCATTATCGACAGATTTTAATGCGTTTTAATGTACACGCATGCTCGATTTAATCCAATTGTAAATGCCGACGATGCTCGTGGAATTTTGTCAGCTCTTTTCGCGTACGAGTTCACGTTCCCTTGGACCAAACGATTTCGCATGTTCAATTTACCGTCATGCGATTATACGTATTTTACTCTTTGGCTAACATCTTCGCGAATGATATATCGATGCGCACTTTGATAAAAAGAAAAATAAAGCATCGGCTGCGTTTAGCAGAAAAAGCAGTTTTACAACTGCTGTTTCAGATTCTGTAAAATGATTGCCCAATAAACACCAACTAACAGTAACATATCATCAATGTTACAATATAACACTTAACTTACGATTCACACGTAACAACATAAGTGTAATATAACACATGTTGTAACTGTCATATTGTTTGGTGTAAAATTATAAAATTGATTATGTTACTTTGTGTCTCCTGGGTGCTCGTTAATTCCTCGCTGGATCTAAATGTATAAACCAATCGTATAATTAAAGAATTCTAATGCAATTGTAAAGCTGCTTTTTCTGCTCAACGCAGCCATTAAATGCATGACTAGATAAGATGACAAACGATGTCGAAGAATATGATAATGAATATTAAAGAAATAATGTTTATATGTATACATATATATAGGTTATAACTATATATAACAAGTTTTAAATTACATGTTTTGTCACTTAATATACTACCTGCAAACCATAAAGGAGCTAATTTTCTTTGGTATAGATATTTGGCAAACAATCATTGAGAGACTGACGCTTAACTTAAACGCAAGCTTTTGAATTGAATAAGGTTCATCCAAGGATGCGCGTGTGTTCTTTGCGGCAACACGATAACGGTAAACAGATTCATGCGAATTTTCTCACGGACGCACACCCTGTACTAACGTAATGCATTATACTGTATGTACAACGTTCTTACAATAATCTTTTTTTTCTTTTCTGAGCGCACCCCGTCGGCTACGAGTAGAGTCCGTAGTGCATTATTACGTCAGAGCCGCCTCTGTATGGCAGCACGTAGATAATTCTTGATTGTTACGCGTTATTTAGGCATTGCACTGAAAGGTTGCAACGGTGTCTTATTTGGGTTTGTTTAGGTATTGCACTTTTTGTTAAGACAACCGTGTCGCATGATTTCGATGTTTAATCTGTCCAAACGCGTTATATTACTCGCACAAATATGCCTCATGTCTACTATTTTCAATTACTTAACAAATAAACGTGAAGAAATTGCTGTATCACATATAAATATTACATTAAAATAATAAAAATTAAAAAAGTTAAAATTGGAAAAGCTGTTATTTTAATACATACTTGGGAAAATCTTTGTCTTCATTAAATTTTTCTTTCTTTTCTACAACAGGAAACTTTAATGATCATACAAAGCTTGTTTTTCTAAATAAAATAATATTTTTCTAATAAAAAGAATATGCATTTTCAATAAATTCTGCGGAAGAAACGGAAGGAATAAATGAAAGGAATAACTTTGCTAAAATACATATTTAAAAATTTAGCTGGATGTAAAGATGCAATCTTTTCGAAAAATATCGGGAAAATTATATATGAAAATACAAATATAGTATAGACGAAAATGTATATACTATAATTACGTATTATATTATAAATTTTCTCATGCGATATAAATTCGAGTCCAGATCTGAAAATCATTTTGTTGGATTATTAAAATAATGTAGGGCGCACGTAATGATAATACTGCAATGAGTTTTGATATTTTAGCGACAATTGCAGGTTGAACATTCTATATAATTATTTTAATGGTTCAATAAAATTATTTTTAAATATATATAAATTTTTTTAGATACTTAAACAAAATCGTACTTTCTGTGTATTATATGCATCGTTAAATGAATGTCTGCGTCGATTACTCGTTCGTTACTACTTACGTTCGATTATAAAGCCATGTCACTACTTCCTGACAGTGACTTAAGCCGTAATCACACTACAGACTCGTTAGTAATTGGTCAGTAAAAATGTTTACTTCCTTTAAATTCAGTATAAATATATCTATAAGTGATTTTTGCACAAAATTTGAATTTTTATAATTGTCAGATATACATTAAAAGAAAAATGTACGTACTTGGTCCGGCATTTAAGTTCACAAATAAAATTTAGTTAGACTCGAATGTAACTCACTCGTTTAAATTAATGTTATCTCTTCTAAAGTAGGCTTCTCCTGTACGCTATAAACATCTCGTGTTTCCACGTTTAGAAGCACTCTCGAAACTGTTCAATTGAAATGTGTACCTATACCGGTAGAGATGTCAGTTGAAAGTTCTTTCGACTCAATAAATGTTTGTATCGTTTTAAAACAATATCACGCGTTATTGTTTCTTTTTTCTGCAAATGTCTTTCAACAATTTTATAATTTCTTCACCATTAATTTTATTAATCAGAATTTTGATATTGGTATTCTCTATTTTTTTTTCAAGTCAAGTATTTATATTTTTGATGTAGATTCAAGAGATAATTTATTAATTAAAATAAACAGTTGATGAGCGTTGTTGAACGATATTAAAACGAAATGTATGTTGAATAAGAGAGGCAATACGTTGATTGCATATTTAATTATACTTCCTCAAGTGCAGGAAAAAAAGGACACTACATACTACTTATTGTGCTGCTCGCGCAGCCATTTGAATCGTTGGAAATGTCACGATTACCTTGTAATCCATTACGAAAGGATAATGTTGCAAGCAAGTACGCGATATGGACAGATTCGTGCAAGTACCTGAAACAATGTGCGATCCGAGCCTGCGGGGGCGGGATAAGGGGCCGAGTGGTGCGCGCAATTTACGATTTCACATGCCGCCGACGGCGGTGGTGACGACGACGGTGGCAGATGCGGCTCCGTACTTTTTCGGTAGAAACATTTCAACGCGGCGTGCCCAGAGCACCCCAGTGCTCGGCGGCGGGTCATGCGTAATGCGGATAGGTGCCGAGATGAGGTGGCACGTGTCCGGAGGCCGTGTGATGGCCGGCATACAAGTTGGCGCCCGGGCTCGTCGACCAGTAGCTCGATGCCGATTGGAAGAGGCCGCCGGGAACGGAAACTGAGACCGACGCCGCCGGCGGCGGCATCAGGTTCAGCTTGGCGTGACCGTAACCGGACATGAAGAGCTCGCTCTGGTATTTGTACGCCGCCGGATCGGCCGCCGCCGGCTGCGTCGCGGCTGCCAGCCCCTGGAAATCGAACTTGTACGCGTACCTCTTGCCGTGCACCTTCGTCATGATGTTCTTGTCGTAATAGTACCTGCAAACAAACCGGACGCTCCATTTAGGTTTTACGAGTTCTAACGTTGAGTGATAATAAGTCTACGTTTTCAGGAGCTTGAAGCTAATATATCTCTCTGTAGGTTTCTCTTAAGAAATTGGTCGGCAAATGTATATCTAAATTTCGGGGATTATTTGGAACTACCTCAAAATCTTGAATTTTTTTTATTTATTTTAAAAACGTATCGGTGGATTGCCATTGGCATATATGATTTGTTATAAAACTTATAAAACTGAGACGATCAAAATTCTAACAGTTTTACACGATGACTTAAAAATTTATTTTCACAGTTGTGATTTCAATTTTAGTAAAATTATTTAATATAAGCATTAATACGATAATAAATTATATACAAATTATAAGTGATTAAAAAAAATAGTTTATTATTTGCTGTTTCTGAAATCATAAACATGTATGTGTTGTTTCTTACATTGTCGTATATTTCTTATATTTTACCATACACATAAATTTTGCGGTAAAAAATTGAATTCTAAGTTCAACATCTTCAACTTCGACGTTGAAAATGAGCTTGCTTGTCAGAGTTCTTATGTGGTTGGTAAAGGGATGTCAAAAAGAGCAATCGCGTAATATAATCAGTGGATCTGATGGAAAAATAATAGCCGCGTCTACCGTCAGTCTGACTGTCGATGATTGAAATTTCTCCCTCGTCCGCCACCCCCTGAGTCCTGACGCGACACCAATATATACACACGAGCGCGAGCAAACGTGAATACCCGAACACGTTCATGTATCGAACGAATTTACTTTCACCCCGAAACTTCGTCAAAACATAAATGATGGTCCGTTAATGGCTTTTCCATTTTGACGTTCGGGAAAAACGCGCCGCTGTTGTCGCGAGTTGCGAACCGGGATGACGCGACGGGAGAGCGCCATCCTGAAACTCACCTCAAGGCCCTCGACAATTTGTCATAATTCATATTAGGCTTGGACTTCCTTTCGCCCCATCGTCTCGCCACCTCGTCGGGATCGGTCAACTTGAATTCACCATTGGTTCCTTCCCACGTGATACACGCGGCGTTACTTGAATCCGACAAAAGCTCGAGTAGAAACTGCCAGAGTTGTATCTGTCCGGAACCAGAGCTTGCGAGCCGACTGCTCGTCGCCCCGAACATTTGATAGGGATCTGTGGGTCATAAGAAATTCACAATATACCTCGCAAGTTTTATATTTATTTTATTGTTAGATTGCTTAAGTATAATTTTATCCTCAACTCTACGGGATTAAATTTGATACCAGTCAAGTATGTCGAGATCGCTTCCTGCCTCCTCAAAGTACAATTACTATATGACTGTTAATTATACACAAGAGTAAAATGTTTGCGTGATTTATACTAATAAATGTGAACTCAGTTTTCACACTGTGAATGAGAGCAAACGATACAATTTTTCGCAGTTTCATGTAGGATATACCTATCCATTACACGGTTGTTTTTCAAGAGCCCCCGTATCACCCTTTAAAAGCTTTACAATGCGTCATCACCGACGCTCGCCGCCGCTCAGACATGAAGGGCCCTACAGTCATACAAAAGAACATAATCGCAACCCCACAATAGAATAGAATTCATTTGGATCATAATAATTTCAATTTGAGAAACTGCCGTCGGAGTGGTTCAAAGGGCGACACGAGTGTCTTCGAAGCTTTTCGGAGATTTAGACAAGCGATTCGATACGTCGATTGTTACTTTATATTGCAATATTGTAATATAAGAAAAAGCGCAATCGATTGAATACTAAAGACAGTTATCCTCAAAACTACGGTTAGAGAATTTTATATATTCTCTGAAAAATGCTAAGTAACATAACACGAATATTTTATGTAACTACAAAAATTTTTAGAATTATATACGTAAACAATATAATAATAGAAAAAAAGAGCTAAAGACGAGCAAAAATAAAGGACATTATAGAGTATTAAGTGAATTTAGATATATTAAAAATAAACGAAACTAATTTCACATCTGTTTCAATCGTATATGTATGATTTAAAAGAAATAAAATTCAATTATATATGAAAAATCATGATAAAGGATTAAAATTTAGAATGTTAAAACGATAAAAGATGAAAGAAGTCGTAAATAATCCTAATAATATTGGCTAGAAGGAAAAATTAAAAAATTGCAGCGAGTAATCCATAATCTGTCACTGCGTTGTTACATTTTCCGAAGCATTTTTGATACTCCATTAATATCTCAAGTCGAAAAGGTCATCGAAAAACGTAATTTCCGAAGACTCATGTCAGTCTACATTGTATTTCCCTTACTCAACATTAGATTACTCAATATTAAGTTATTCAACATTAAACTTCAAGATGAATATTACAATAATATTGTAGAATGTGTACGCAGTTGGAAGAATCAATAAAACTTATATACAAATACCGCAGATTGATATAATTTTCACATGAAACATTGTTATATATCAAGAATGGAATGGACATTAATTAATAAAGATCAGACGGCGTGCCATTGTGTATATATAAATATATTAATAATGATTATTAAAATTTTGTCAAGTATACGTTAAAATACGATTAATCTAAAAATTTAGCGTGTCCTCGTTAGCATTAATACTATTTTTTAGACTTTTAATTATTCTCAATATTAATCGTTTATAGCAATTTTTTGTTCCAAATCTAAAATATTATTTCATTTTTTTCCAATTAAACTTGTGATCAAATTTTAATTTACAATAATAAAATGTTAGGAGGTGTCTTAGTTCATGTTTTTCTGTGTTCAAAGATTTTTATTATATTTACATATTTACTTTTACTTTAAAAAATAATACAGGTACCTTGTAATTTTTAAAAAATTCGTAAAGAAAAAAATGTTACAGACTTTCTAACGAGGAGGTTAAACGGTGGTCCCGATTTAATGATTTCGGTAGTCTGAAAGAACGAAGAAGAGTCCTGATACGAGAACTCCAAGACGAACCCCATAAAAATACAAGTCGAGCGATTATGAGAGGGGGACAGACGTGGATGATGGGGACGGATTCGGAATTGCCGGACCTCAAAGGTCGTTTCGCCCGATGAATCCGCTGAATGCGTGCCGGAGTGATCGCCTTTCGATCGAACGGTAATTCACTTACAAGTTAATAATGGGAAGGGGCGCGGTACACCCATTTATCTGCCGGGAACGAGGGAACTGATGGGAGAAATACTGGGATGCGACTACGCCCAAGGATTCGACGCTCTTTTCTCATCGTGATTCGAAACTCCGAGGAATCGATGACGCGCGAAGTAACAGTGACCTTGTTTGATTATCGCATAGATAAGCCCGCTTTTCAGGTGAAATGGGACCTTGTACTCTCAGTCTAGATTTAAGCTGTGTCAAGCTGTGATCTATTTAATTTGTAATTCAAAACAAAGATTAATGCATCATTTGTTATATATACATAGAGCACATAAACATGAAGGAAATAAGAATTATATCCGCGAGGATATCTTATTGTTGATGGAAGAAATTGCAAGTTATATATAATAGTATAATAAATATATTTACACACAGTTTGATATGAAATTATGTAAAATTATAAATAGAAACCTGTACAAAATTTTGTTTTCAATTATATAGTATATATCATCCGAGATGTGGGTTTTACAAGCCATCGCCTACAATAAAATTTGAAATAACTTTTTGAGATAAATAAATAAAAAATTTCATGTTTAAAAAATTTTTCTAATTTTATTTCAAAGATTGATATTTTATATTAATAATGACTTTGACAAGTAGATTTTACTTAAATTAATTCGCAGAATATCACTGAGACTTCAATTCACTTTAGATGGAATTAAATGAGAGAACGCTTTAACTTCTCAAAAATATCTACCTACTACATACCAGGCTGCCTGAGATGGCTGTGCGTGTCCAGTGCTGTCTTTGATAAGCTGCTTCCATAGCCTGAAACAGGATGTTTCACATCCATGCATTACTTCCCATCAAAATTTTATAGGAACAAATATATGATGGAAGAAATATAGGATGAATGATATTCATTTTGAAGAAATGGAAAAAGATCTGGATTTAAATAAAACAGTAAAGTATAACCTTAGTTTCCTCATCACGGACGCGTATAATTATTATCTGTCGAAAGAGATGCCAGATGATTTTCCGAACACTTTTGTGTAGCGGTGGTTCGAGAATACTTCGATCGCGGGAGGAAAGTCATCGGTCCGAAGATGAAAAAGTGCAAACTCGGTCGAGCGTTAGAATCCGTTAGAGAGGATTTCCGTGTAGGCAAACACACGGGGCTGAGTGTGCTACGTGTACGTTTATCTTCCCGTTCGTTTTCGTCGCCGTGTCATCCCTGTCGTAGTGTAGGCCTCCTCTCTTCGTCTTATCGTACGAGAATTCCCTCTTCGTGCGAGCGTTTTTCGTCCGAGAGCCTAGGGGGTCACGTTCACGCACGGACGTGTGCAATCTGTTTAAGGGTACAATGCCCCTTAATTTTGACTCGTTACATGCTCGCAGGCGATAGCCTGCAAAGGTCAGTCGGTTGGCTCCACTCGAAAATCAGTGAGATCGCGATACTTCCAAATTGGCTCGAAGACCGTTACGGTATTAACGTACGCATCAATGCGCGCTTTATTTATACATTTACAATTTTTATTTTTACACTTTTTACGGTTCTCTCAAAGTTCTATAATATAAGCTTCAAAATCATTTTATCTTTTAAAATATTTTATTATAATTGTTTACATACTTCTTTTATAAATGCAACATGTTATGTTACAGTTTTTATTCAAGTGACAAAGAGTTGAAAATTAGTTGCTAAAATTTTATTTAGCTAATAATGTTACATTATTTAAATTTTTCAATTAAATATCTATTTTTGTTCAAAGTAAATTAAAAAGCAAATTAGAACGGTATAGTTTAATTATAACATTTTTCATTTATTTCATAGAATAGACATCTACAATAAATGGTTTGTCACGACTATTCAGACCGATTCAATTTTCCTTGAAATATGCTCTTAACCGTAAAAAGTTAAGAGACACATATTTTTCATCAACTTTCAAATATAAGAGCTGAAATAATTCCCTAAAGCTTTGATTCCAATTATCAATGAACCGATGAAACGTACAGAAAAATATTTTAGACAAAAGTTTTATGGTTTTATATATACTTTATAATTGTGTATTTAAGTTTTCCAAAAATTTAACATTTTGAGAATACTGGAGCTATACCCATTTATTTTGAGGGATATTATTTCACCTTTTAAATCTGAGATTAAGAAGATACGAAGTACGTGTTTCTCAGATCGTTGTATTTATCACCATATTTCGAGAGAAGAAGCGAATAGGTTCTGGAGTTCTGGACAGTTTATGATAAATCATTTGTAAGTGTTAAGAACTGTAAGAAATTAGTATCAGGCTGCTCCTCGCCCTGCTGAAGTGAACTGCAATGTTTACATTGCCAAAGCGTTGGCATTCTAAGAATGGATTTGAATACGGAGATAATCCGCGAAACGCATAATTTCTGTATAGAAAGTGCCCGTGGAAGCCTCAAGAGTATCAACTGTAAGAAATATTCGTTTTCATATATATTCTCGCCAATGTGTATCGACTTGCAAAGATCAATGAGAATGATGCTCCCCCGTAATGATAACATTCTCGACAACGGTTTCCATGATAGAGCGTTCCAATGTCGTCGCGTCGGAATGTAGCCCCATGGGGCAGATGCTGCCTTTAAATAGCAGTTGGTGTCCGCTGTGTTAAACAATCTGATTTCTCCTCTGATTGGGAAGCGGGTACGTCCTTGGACGAGGGTCCAAGCCGGCCGGGGACGGCGTTCCTGGGTCTGCACGGGTCGTAGGGTCCGCCGCAATCAGTGTAGCCGCGGGGCTTCGAGCCGTCGCGCGCGCTCGTTTCTCTAACACAAACTCCAACATCGCGATCGAGATTCCATCGACAGTATGTACAACTGATGTCACTGATGATGGCTCCATTTACAATATAGATAATAAAGATGATATAAATAATACAATATAGATAAATAATGAATAAATAATAACACAGCGATTTCTGAATTACCTAAATTATCTAAATCGTTATTGTTTCCGAAGACCTATTATGATACGTTACTTTAGTATCTCTAATTCTTACTTATAGTTTCTTCGATAAATTTGGTATCGCTTCTTCTTAACGAAATGTTGAGATTCTTAACCTGCAAGCATTTGGAAATAAACAATTAAGAAATTCTTTAGATTCTAAGCTTTAAACAATTTCTCAAATGTTGAGTATAAACAGATTCTTTAAGAACTTTTATCGTTTACTAATTTCTACATCTATATTTATTCGAAGACTATGTTTCCTCTCCATGTTCAGTGATGAATGCAAAGTTGATCAAATATAAGCATGTGCTTTGAGGGGGGTTCAACAAATGATAATTTTTTTCAATACTTTTACTATAAAAAATAAATTCAATTAAGATTCTTCGAATCCACCTGTTTTTTTAAACAGTTATTTAAATAATAAATACGTCATGCGAATATATTAACAAAAAGTATACTTCATGAGAAAATGTAACTTATTAAGCATTATTTTTACAGATCGATCTTGCGTATTGTATCGTGATTCGTTTCGCGTCACCTCGAATCCATGAGGTCCCATCAACGTGTACCCATTGTCGCGAGTATATCTGCGCATTCACGAGCAATTACATGGGGCGGGGTAATCCCGTTAGACGGCATGCAGCCTCTTCGAGGGAGGATCAAAGAACTCGTCGTCATTCCGTGCTACTGCACTCTTTGGTAGTCTCAAACGCGTACAATGCCACTTTCGGTGTCGCGACATCGAAAGAAGAGGGAACCACGGCCCCCCACACGACTTTGGAGAAACTTTGGACGCGTTCCAGCAAACACACTAACGCACGGCGCTGTGAGACGAAATCTTATCGTTTGCTCGGTCATTCCTATCATATCGAAACATCGTTCTGTTACGTTAATTTTGAAATGTCACTGACCGAAAACTACGGAATTGCATCCAAATTGCTGGATATTTTAGAAGTGAGTCTCATGAGAGTAAAATGAATTAAATGAGGATACAAATGAATGAAGCATTTTATGATATTATTTTAAAACTTTATTGTTGTTTATTTGAATACTTCAAAAGTGGAGCAAAAAATGCTATTTTTATTGAAGAAAGAACGTATAAATTTCAGTCAGGAATATGGAGCATTTTTTTACATTAAATTATGATATTTTAATTTAGTCACAAACAATGATTAACTAGTTCTTATTTACAATTTTATTATACATCTACACAGAAAATAATAATAGAATGTATAATGTGTACCACACGAGATGCTACTTATACTTTGAATTTTGACAACAAACATTAACAATTAAAACATACTCAGAAAGAACAATTTTACTGAGGTATCTAAAAATTTAGTTAGATTACAGATTAAAAAATTTACAGATCTGAAAATTATTTTAATAGTCCCAACAAAATTATGTTCAAATCTGCATCTAACTAAATTTTTAGATACTTTGGCAAAACCGTTCTTTACCGCGTATGCTTTGGAAAATCTCAAATCTATATACGTTAGAAGTGCCCCCATTCATTTGTCTCACTCACGCTTAATTCATCGTCAGACTGCGACCTAAATCCATAATCTTTAGTCATATAGTCTTAAGTGATACTGTCTCATACGCTGCAGTTTGCACAGATCTACTTCGGACATAAATCACACTGCCATGCAGTGTGTAATAATGAGTAAGCGAGCGTAACGTGCTGAGCTTTGAGCATAGCAAGTTGCTGGTACAAGCTATCCGAAGGGTAAGAGAGATTACACCTGCATACAAGGGTGTAGGTTCTGTACGCAGGAATGAAGTTCAGGCGAGCATTATTTTTCACGTCGTTCCCGCCGACGTTCCGCTAAGTTTGTTGGAAATATGCCGTGGAATGCGAATGAGCTTCGTATAACGAGATCGCATCCCTACGTTACACGTGTGCGAAAAGCCGAAAATATATTTTCATAGACTGAACAAAATCGAAAATAGATATGAAGTAGGTATAAGAGTTTAGAAAATATTTATATTTTTGAAAATCTCTTCCAACGGGCACATTTTTGTTTAGAGTCCTTTTATTAGATCTGTTTCTATCAATGTATTTTAGATTAATTTTAATCCTGGTTTATCTTATTTTTCATGTTCTTTCTAGTTTAGAATTAGAAACGGATAAAGAGAGTAAAGTGAACCGAGAGATTAATTTACGTTGGTAGAGAAATGAACATTAATTTAATATAATACAGTGATTAAATAAAGCCTCCAAGAATTTTATGCAAATCTTCCTACGGCAATATCGATTGTGAATTAAGAACGTTGAAGGTGAGTTACGTCATTATTACGATTAATTTATTCGTGATACACATGACACACCAAAATATCTGAAGTAGGCACTCCGTATCGACTAACTGTCCAGTAAGTTGCCTTCTAAAAAACGGAAGTCGCAGTTGTTAAATGAGGCTTTCTCAAGAAGTTAGACGTGCGGGCGATTCGTGCCCCGTGATGGAGGTAACATGTTTTTGTTCGTCAGATAAGGGCAGGCGTAGCAAAAGTTATTTGTAAGAGCGAGCTGCGTAGCGCGGAAAGAAAATTAATCGTTTCCTAATTATCGCATAGCGTGAATATAGCGCCGACTCGGTAAAAGGAAAAAAGATTCTTGTCTTTGGCTTGAGTACCTTCGCACGATACCAACGACCCACAGGTATTGTTTATCATATATTTTTCACGTATCCACGCGAGCTCCTTATGTAATCTTTTAACGAGAATTCTTGCTCTCTTATTACGTTTCTCTGAAAAGAAGCGTTTATTTATAAAACGCAAAAGAAAACGAAATTATATTAAATTTCAGATAAAATAAACTTCTGAATGTAAAGAATCGTTAAAGATGTTA